TATATATATATAACGGAAATTAATAATGAAAGAAAAGAAAAGGATAAGGTAAAATAATTGTATATAATTAGGAAAATAGAAAGGCATTGCACATAAAAATAAAATCAAAAGACTAAAAAATATTGTAACCACACAAATACTTATTATGTAATATATTACAATCTTATACATTTATTTTTCATAAATTTTAAGCATTACAATATAATTATTTGTTTTCATAGATTTAATTTCACTGTATTGAATATAAATACCAATGGGAATAGGGTGGGCTAATGTTGGGGGGTGTAAATATAAAATGCTACCCTATTTAATGCATAGGGTAGCATTTTATATATATATATAGATATAGATTATAATTGAAGTAGAATTGCTTTAGGAGGAAAGATTATTATTGAAAATAATTGAATTTGGATTTTCGAAAGTCTATTAGAAATTTATTTGGTATTTATTAAAAATTTTAATAGAAGCATTGAATATTTATTTAGAATTTATTAAAAATTTTAAAAATTTTACAATATAGTGAAATAAAATTTGACCGAGTAATAACTACGTCTACCAAACCAAGCAAACTCTAATCAAGAGTTAATTTTGCGGAGACGCGGCTGCTTACCAAGGATCTTGCAAAGAGCTGCAACCGACTTGCGTAGTAGTGCCTCTGCAAATGAATGAAATATAATTAGGATTTCGAAAGAATGTGTTTCGTTGCTGCAATAATCATCGCCTCACCATGATATCTAGCCAAAATAACAACACATCTATAGGGGCCTTTCAAATAAAGAAATAAATGAGGAATGAGAAAGAATGAAACAACTACCTTTCTATAATCGTTATCTTTTGTCTAAAAGGATTGCCTCAAACTACAGTATAAGAACAAAAAATGACCCAACTAACTCTACGAAAGTCATCAGAGGGAATAAAATAATAAAGAAAGAAAAATTGAAAATACACACGTAGAAGAATATATACTTAGGAATTGAAGACAAGATTGATAACACGAGTGTTCTCCTGAGGCATCATGAGCTGCACCACTTGGTTTGATTAAGTCTTCATCTACTTCTATGACTTCAATTACAATTATAATAAAAAAAATAGCAGTTAATAGACTAAATCAATCCAGAAGAACAAATCGGAAAACAAATTAAGAAAGATATGGAAACCCAAAATTTTATTTACAGGGTATGAGAGTAATTAGGAATCCAAGTTTAACAAATGATACATCCATTAATAACTATTGGTTTAACCATTAAAGCATTCTCACATTTAATTCAAATTTTAAAATAATAATTTTTTAATAAATGTATTCTGAAATATATTAAACTGAATAATGTACTAATTATTATTTATAATTAAATTAAATAGATTAGAGGCAAAATTAAGTAAAATATGTAAATATGAAGGGAGAAGCAATACTAACAACGATATATCCACAATCTCACAAATTTAAGTCGACTTCCTCTGGGAGGTAGTGTTTTAGCAAGTGCTAAAATGATTGGCATGTAACCCTGAGGGGGTTCGTTAGTTGCCAACTCCAGAAAACGGTGGAGTAAATATAATGCAGTTTCTGATCTCAAAAAGTTTTGTTAGAGAAAAGTAAAATAACAATTATAAAGCAAAGAGAAAGAAAAGAAATGATAATTAGAGCTCTTACTGAACATTTTCTTAGTTATACACTCTTCAAGAAGAATGAAGCCATAGTCCTCACGTAAAAATTCTTCCAGATCAATCTGTCCGCAGAGGAGGCGTGCTATGTCCTCCTGGTCAGCGATAGTTGCAACATGAAGGGAAGACTTTAATAGTCTCTGATCAGATCTTGCCTTCGAGAAATGGTAGAAGAATTTGTCTACTCTTCTTTTACTCCCATTACGAATGAACCTATGCAAAAATCTTTCCCACGCTGTCCATAATGATTGTAAGGCAATAGCGTCGGTATTCTTAGCCTCCACAGTTGGGCAAAGCACGATTTTGGAAATGTAAACATTGCGCCAATTTACACAAAAATAAATAAATAAATAACAAACACTCGGTCACCTCTTTATAGAGATTGATAAGGCAAAATGAGCAGATGGCTCCTTAATATTTTTAAATTAAAGTAAATTAGTACTCAATAGAAAGAGTTGAACTAAATCACCATCCAAACTTTTTATTTTAAAAAAATTAATCAAAATTTAACAGCCGGACATCAACTTTTTATGAAACCTCAAGAACAATAATTTAACAAAAAAATAATTGTGTTGCTTAATTATGGCTGATTTCTTTAAAATAAAATTTTGAAACAACGATTTACCTTAATTTTGGATAGTGATTATAGTGATTAACATACATTCTATACACTACATAATACATTTATTAAAAAATTATTATTTTTTGTTTGAAATTTAAAACAGACATTTAAAGATATAACCATTTATATAAAATACTGTAACTAACTGTACTCATATTATATTTTAATAATTAAATTAATTGAGATGAATATAAAAAAAATGTTAGACCAAATATATACCCATGATTTTCCAGATTGATTAAATAAACAAATTTATAATGTCAACGGTAACATTGGAAAAATAGAATTTAAAGTTCTACGAACTATTTCAAGAGAAATGCTTTGCCAAGCGTAACTAGCACTTCGACCTTGATTGGCTTAGTATTTTTTTTTAATTTAAAAAACTAAAAAAATGAAAGGATTCAATAAGAAGAGAAGTGCTTGTGATTCGGCTCATTTCTGGTGTACATGTTACTCTCTTTTCTTTAAAAGAAAGACGTGTCGGGCCTATGACAAAAAAAATTTTTTATTATGTGCCTAATATATTAATTATATTTTTAGTAATTAATTTATATAAGAAATTATAAATAT